CAGTATCCTTCCCCTGGAGTGGAGAGGGAATGGGGATTTTGCAATATCCTTTCTCTGGAGTGTGGAGGAAATGGGGATTTTGCAATATTCTTTCCCTGGAGTGTGTATGGAATGGAGATGTTCCAGTATCCTTCCCCTGGAGTGGAGAGGGAATGGGGATTTTGCAATATCCTTTCTCTGGAGTGTGGAGGAAATGGGGATTTTGCAATATTCTTCCTCCAGGAGTAGGGAGAGAATGGATATTTTACTGTATCCTTCCCCTGGAATGGGGAGGGAATGGGGATTTTGCAATATTCTTTCCCTGGAGTGTGGAGGGAATGGAGATTTTCCAGTATCCTTCCCCTGCCACCCCCACCAAGCCACTCCCACAGAACAGTAGTAAAAAAAATTTGAATCCCACCACTGCTTTGTGCCTATGATTCCAAAGATTTGGAAACTGCAGAAAATGTTCTTCTTCATTGTTCCTTCTATGGAGTAGATTCTGAACCAGATTCTCTCTACCTATGATTAGTAGAGACCTGGTTGGCCCAGGTTCAGCCTATGTCAAATGCTGATGATAGATGAAGTATCCCTCATTGCAGCACATACAGCTACGTTTTGTGCAGCAGTAGGGAAGATTCGATGAGCTCATTTTTTGCTGGCCAAAGGTAACTGTAATTCATCTAAATTCTAGCTGTTATCATTTTTGGGGAATGTTAAATGATGTTACATGGAATATAATGTTAGTGTCTACATTATAATTTAATACAGACTGCATCATAGATCTCATTCATAGATGTTAGTTAGGTTGTTTTAGAAACATATTTTAACTTTACCTTAAACTATTTTGTTTTTTATCCATTTATCTAGTTATCTTTGTCCAGAATCATATAGGGCAGGGGTGTCAAACTCACATCATCACAGCGGTGTAACATAACATATTAGGACTTTCCCCCCCCCTTCGCTAAACCGGGCCTGGATATGTGGCCAACACATGACACATCTGGTCTGTGGGCTAGGAGTTTGCCAGCCCTGATATAGTCTCCTACTTGAACAACGGGTTTGACTAGAAGATCTCCAAAGTCCCTTCCAAATTTGTTACTCTATGGTATGTTCTACATTCTAAATCTATTTATCTTCACAGAGCACTCTGCTTCTATTGATCTAGAACTGTAATAAACTGAAATTTATAAACTGTCTAAATAAAGTCTAAAATTGCTGGGAAAATGTCCAGGATGGCCATGGACTCTCCATTGCTCAAATATCTTGCTCCCCTTCTTCTTTTTCTTAAAATATGGGACTGCAGTCTGATTACATACATACAGATTACAACTGCTGAGTTTCACATTACTACAATTTACTTACCCACTGAATATTGCCACATTTGATAAAATATGTTGGTAACCAAGATTTATTTGGGTCTTTATGTGTTTATTTTTCTTTATTCATTTGTTTACTTGACCAGCAGAGGCATCCAAAATCCATCATAGTAAGTAAGATTCAACAGTAGCAAAGATTCAATAGGGAGCAACAACAACAAAAGATTTAAAATATTTAACCGTTTTAAAAGACCTCAGCAATGTTGAGTAATATTTGCTGCCACGTCCTCAGAGTTGCTAGGCAAAATTTAGCAATTTTGTAGTCAACAATGGCCATATGATCTGCCAGAAGAAAAGACGTTGGTGGTGCCAACTAATGATTTACAAGCAGCCAGAGATTCTAATGTAGTGTTAAGCACACACTTTCTTCAACATGGCAAGCCATCCCTTTGCTAGGGCTGTGATGGCAAAAAGCTGGAAGCAAAACTAAAAGAAATGATGTATATATCTATCACGGTCACCATAGAATGGCTCAATCTCAAGCACAGCACTTTATGGTGGTTGTATTAGGATCTGTCCTCTGTTCCTGAAAGTTTTCAGTTGTATATATCCAACCACTTGGCCCAACTTGCAGGAGGGTACCAGGTGAGGACGCCAACGCCAAGTTGGACTTAATAGGTTTCAAAGCATTCCCAAACACTTCCCACTTCTAATAATCAGAGGAGACCAGGTGTGCCAATGATGTCACCTGTGACATGGCATCATCATCATCATCATCATCACGGTCCAATGTTGTTGTTGTGGCTTCAACTAGAGGTTGGTCCTTCTCAGACACGACTCTTAGCCTGTCGCTTACAGCTGGAGCAGAAGCAGAGAAACACAGCTTGTAAAAAGCTCCTGACTGGTGGTGGTCCTTGAAAAATACTGACCTGGACAGGTTTTCTCCTCTGCCTATGTTCTCCAGAAGCCCACTGCCCAAAAAAGCAGCAGAGATTAAGTTAAAGGGATGAATAGTATAGATGGTCTTGGTTGGAGATTGAAAAACCAGGATTTTGCTGCCCCGTCTTCTAATAAATTTCATTGACATTAATTATAACTACCCCAAATGTAGCTTCCTGGTAGAACTATCTGATTTTCTGACCCTTTTAGGCCAAGTAATCCTGAGACCCCAAAAACTACTTACCAGTTCCATCCGAAGCCATTCAAAGGCCATACCAATGGTGGGGAATCCACAAACAGACTTCAAGGGTCCCCGGGCCTGATCCTCCTCTCCTACTGCCTCTTCACCCTGCTTCTCCAGGTGGGTCTTCAGAGCTCCATCCCGCAGCCCATTTCTCCAGGAGGGACTTTGCACATGGGCCTTCCACTCCAGGTAAGATGGGCGCCGTGTCTGTAGCTTCAACTTTGTTGTCAAGGCCTTGACGCTGTCTAGGTTCTCCTCTTCTAAGTTGAGGTCATCTTCCCCCAACTCCTTGAACCTCACCAGGGCCATGGCAGAGATGCCAAGCACAGAGTGTGTCTCCACAGAGGACAAAATAACAAACTCACTCTCCTTCTCGGTGTGCACACGCTGCATATGCGTGTCCGTGCATGGACAAAAGCTGTTTATGCTTGAAACAATCAAGTCCTTGGAAATATAAAAAAAAGCAGGAACTTTAATTATCCAGAGGTGAATGGCACAGGGTGTTTTTTTTAAAGTATACTATTATTGTCTTCAGCTGGGCGGGGACACGCTATTCTTTGAAAGGAAGTTTCAGTAAGAACATAAGTCAGCAAGAGTGTAAAGTAATTTATCCTGTGTGGGCACTGTTTCCTTTTCTTATCACCAGCCAAGAAGAGTCATGGATCCTCCACCCAGGTCTGAAATGAGTTGGAAAAATGAAAGGGCAAAGTACAATATTTTTAATCAAGCTAGTTAAAGTTAGGCTTTAGCTAACCAGAGGCGGGGAGACCTTGATTGGGGCACTGGCCTACCACATCTTCTCTGCCCCCTTTTAATCTCTGGGACAACAAGGAAAGTAAAGCAGCAGCTCCTCCTGCTGACTCTAATAAACCAATCCATTTGATGCACTTCAGTATGCAAATGGGGAACTTCCTGACCCAGAAGAGGTGTTTTCTTTTTTACAAAAATATTTATTTTTATTTGCTTGATTATGTGTGGTCAAATCATTTTTAACTCCTAGGAACCACATAGATAGATGGCACCCATGGCAATTTACACTCAACCTGGATTTTCAGGTCTTTTAATGCTGCACCCACCTGTTCTCCAGCTAAGTCCATCCATCTTGCTATTTTATTTTTCTTACCCATTCATAAATGCTGGTTGGCTTACAAATAAAAAATAAAAATAGTACAGAACATGTTTTTTTTCTTCTGGAGTAACCTTGGTATGTTTTCCAGGGCCGCTGCTGATTTCCCACCTATCTGAGATTTTCAGTCCAGATCTAAACTTGCTGGGCAGGAACAGAATACTGGATCGGCCAAACTGTTGCCTTATTGAATGAAGACTGGCTTTTAAAAGAGAAAGACGGAGGTACTTTTTTCTAGGTACCTTCACTTTAAGATTGCAATAACAATAATTACTTATAAACTGCTTCACTTTGCTTTTACAGCTCTATCTGCCTTGGGAGGATGAAAGGCTGAGTTAACCTTGAGCCAATCAGGATCAAACTCCTAGCAGTGAGCAGAGTTTGTCTGCTCCTAATAGCAATAGTACTTAGATTTATATACCACTTCACATTGGTTTTACAGCCCTCTCTAAGTGGTTTACAGAGTCAGCCTCTTGCCCCCAACAATCTGGGTTCCCATTTTACCCACCTCGGAAAGATTGGAAGGCTGAGTCAACCTTGAGCCTGTCAGAATGCAGAGAGTACCTCTCAGTTTGAGCTATTATTTTTCTTTTGATGATGACGAAGTTGACCTCTGTGGTTTGGGGAATCCAAACACCTTTCTTAAATTTAGAAATCAGGAAGGATCAGAAAAACCAAACGGCTCCAATTGACCAAAGCTCTGTACTTTTTAAAGAAAAGGGTGGCGTTTTCATCACAAGCTGCCATTTTGACCTTTTTGTTCCACAAACACACCCTAAGCACCACGGTTAGAAACTTTTACTACTATTCGCATGATTTCTGTCTCAGCTTCCTGTAAAACCAGTCAGTTTCTTATTCAATGAGGATATTGCAGAACAGCATTTCTCAATCTCAGTTGGAGATTCTGGGAGCTAGATAATTCTGGGAGCTGAAGTCCACATGGCTTAAATTTGCCATGCTTGAGAAATGCTGCTCTGGAGGTGGAGAAGCTTGCTTAAACTCCCCAGAAAGAAAGACCATAGCTGGTAGGTAGGAGCCCCACCCTCCACCCCCCCCCCAAATCAATTTTATGGGGGGTTTCTTCATATGTAATCCTATCATAGGTCTACCATGGAGAACTCTTCTTACTTTCTGCTGCGCTTGGGAGCACTTCTTTGTTGCCACAGTCTCGTTCCTGCACTTCATTTAAGGTGGAACCAAACAACTGGATTTCCTGAACATATTGAATCATTCTGCCCCAGCCAGGCATCTTCCAGATGTCCTGGGGCTGGAAGTTTCTAAATTCTAAGCCAGGCTGTCTGGAGGGTATCATTGGTAAGGCGTCATTAGAGAAATGATATCTGATTCTGGTTCCTCTGACCTGGCTGGAGGCCAAGATAGCACTCAGATTCATTTTTTCAAGGATCCATTGCTAAGCAGCTAAAAAGGGAAAACGTCTCCTTCAAACAGAATACCTAGAAGAGGCAATCCCATCTGGGCAAGTTTTAAATGTTTGTTTTGTCAGTCAGACACCTGTGGGAGATTTGGAAAAAGAGATACTATCTGCACTCTAACTGCCCACTCTGAGGATAAAACTGCATTAACCAAGCTCTCTCAAGCATTTCAAGCAGACAAACCGTTCCATTCCTGGCCTTGCCTGTTTTCCTTTGAAAGGTGAAAGTCCAAAGGAACAGCAATTGTTCAGACTGTTGCAAAACCAAAATGACAATGTGCCTTCAAGGAGACTCCCCTTTTGATAGCAGAGAACTGTAGCCCATGAAATTCTGCTCCCTGTTGGCCATGATGGTTGTAGACTATGGGTTTAATTCTGTGACTCATTGGGACATTTTTGAGCTGAGGCTAACACTGTCTGCTGTGACCAAAATAAACATTCAGTTTTAGGCTGACAGTATTGTTTTTATTTTAGTGCTGGATAGTCTTGTGATTATCTATGAAATATATAGTATATCATGAATAGAAAAATAACTCTAGTGATAAAACAAATGTCAGTGATAAATGAACAATTGCTTATTTAAACAGATAACCAGAATGACCTCATTTAGGCAAAAAAGCCAGTGGGATTGGGAGCAATTTCTGACTTCCTGCCAGCTTCCCCAGTGACTTTGCTTGTGGGAAGCTGGCAGGTAGCATTTCAAGTCAAATCACCTGGCCCTGGGGATGCCTGAACAGCCACAACTTTGACAATAAAACCGGTCTGAACATTGTGGAAATTTCAAGTCCTCCAGCGTAAGAGGTCCTGGATTTATTACACATTTTTTAAGTTAGTGGATTTTAGGTGCCTTGATTTAAAAATCATTGTGGTATATGCATTGTTTGGGTTAACTTGAGGATACAAACAGACAATAAGAGGGTTAATTGTGTATTACATTCCTAAATAATGCTGTAAGTTTGGTTTCCATGGGCTCAAGAATTCTTTCCAGCACTCATATGATGGGACCAAGCCTTCACAGCTGGTGTTGGTTTATAGCTGCTGCCTTTTCACCTTTGACCCTCAAACAGCCCCCTTCCTGAAAGGCCGGCCCCCAGATTGGTGAGCAGGAACCTAACCCTGGGCATTGAACTGGGGTGAATGAACCCTGGGGGCAAAAGTACAAAGCATCTTTCACTTTTCTGGAACAGCTCAAAAACAAACTCCCCACTATCTTTTGCAAGCATTTTATCTTGATGAATCCAAAGTTTTGGGTTTGTATGACATACTGAACTTTACACCACCCACCCAGGAGGGATTCCCACAGCACAGCTGCTGATCAAACATCCATTTCCCTCAAGCAAGGAAAAATGTGGTATTTATTAGTTTGAGAGGAAGCCCTACATTTTAACCACCACAACAAACTCTCCCTTGAACTGTAGAATCCTGTAGGTGGGAAGTTCAGATGGGGTGGGGGGAAATCCATGTGGGGAGCAGAGGGAGAGGCTCACTTTGTCACAGCAGATGCGGGGGGGGGGTGGGGGGGAGAGAATGGGAAAAGACCTAAGAGAAAATGTAACTGGCTACAAACATTTTTGGCTTCAAAATCCAGACTCTTCTGTGTACATCTGGAGTGTGAGGAATAGCACCCACCTTACATGGATTATATAGAATAACAGAGTTGGAAGGGATCTTGGAGGTCTTCTAGTCCAACCCCCTGCCTAGACAGGAAACCCTATCCCATTTCAGACAAATGGTTATCCAACATCTTCTTAAAAACATCCATTGTTGGAGTATTCACAACTTCTGGAGGCAAGTTGTTCCACTGATTAATTGTTCTCACTGTCATGAAATTAATCCTTAGATTAAGTTGCTTCTCTCCTTGATTAGTTTCCACCCATTGCTTCTTATCCTACCCTCAGGGGCTTTGGAAAATCATAGACTCCCTCTTCTTTGTGGCAACCCCTGTGATATTGGAACACTGCTGTCATGTCTCCCCAAGTCCTTCTTTTCATATATGTTTTAGCCTCCAGTCCCCTAATATCTTGACAGCACCCACAATGCTTCATCAGGAATGAACCATCTGGAGTCTTTCAAGGATTGTGGACAAGACTCATCTATTGCAATCCTTTATTGTCAGCAGCAAAGGACTATTAGAAGTGTCTTCAACCCATTCGGGAGAACATCAATGCCTTATTACTATTTCTTTGTTTGTTCTATTTAATTTATACACTGTCCAAGCATCTGGAAAGCCACTCTTTATTGTCAATTAATCTTGATTTACGTATAAGCATTTGGCAATGAAAACACAGCAGATCCTTACATCTCACAGGATTATTGAGGTAAAACCCAATCTACTTAGGAGACATCAGTTGGTAAAACACTATAGTTCTGTTTTTCCCTGATGTAAATAAGAAATGCCATTCCTATTACTGTACAATTGATCATTGCAGAATAAAATATACAACTTTTAAAGCTGAAGATTTTGTAATCTAAATTTTAGCAATACATGGAATGAGTATTATCTAAAGTACAATGGATTCAGAACAGACAACGGTTTCAAGGTCATCTTGCTAATGTCTCATGCAGTGTTTCTCAACCTTGATAACTTTCAGGTATCTGGAATTCAACTCCACCCATATTAAAGTTGCTGGGGTGAGAAACATGGGTCTAATATATAACGGAAGAGGTAAAGGAGTTCCAGAAGAGATTATTTTGACTTTATTAATTTTACAAGAAAGGCACACAGTGGCTCTGTGGCTAAGACACTGAGCTTGTCGATCAGAAAGGTTAGCCATTCGGCGGATTGAATCCCTAGAACCACATAACAGAGTAAACTCCCGTTACTTGTCCCAGCTTCTGCCAACCTAGCAGTTCAAAAGCAGCACGTAAAAATGCAAGTAGAAAAATAGGAACCATCTTTGATGGGAAGATAACAGCGTTCCTGCACCTTCAGTGTTTAGTCATGCCGGCCACATGATCACAGAGACGTCTTCGGACAGTGCTGGCTCTTTGGCTTTGAAATGGAGATGAGCACCGCCCCCTAGAGTCAGGAACAACTAGCACATATGTGTTACCTTTACTAATTTTACAATGGCTTTTGGCTGTGGAAACCAGAACCAAATGTGAATAGCTCTCAAAAGCAAGGGTGTGCCAGGGTTATTGAAAAATCAATATAAAGAACAAGAAGCCACAAGTAGAATGGAATAGGGAATAATAAAATGGATTCAAAGATAGGAATGAGTAGTGTCAGGTTACTTTATTTATTTAACAAACATGAAGAATATATCAAGAGAAATTCTGGATTAGAAGAAATAGCCAACTAAAATGGTTGAGGAAAGCCTCAACAAACTCAGTTATGCTGATGATACTACTTGGTGGTCTGAAAATGACAAGGCAAATCTCTTGTTGAACTCTTCTTTAAGATTTAAAAAAACTAAGATCATGTCAGCAAATTACACTAATTTTATGCAAGTACTGAGAAACTGAAGTAATAAAAGACTGTATCTTGGGCTCCGTGACCCGACAAATGTGCGCACGACAAAAGTGTGCCGACAAAACCGCGGCGCTAAAACCGCGACATCATCAACGCGACGTCATCAACGCGCTGACAACAGCGCGCTGACAACAGCGCGCTGACAGAAGCGCAATTTAATTTAAGGTAAGGGTTAGGTTTAGGGTTAAGTTTAGGATTAGGTTTAGGTTTAGGGTTAGGGTTAGGTTTACAGCACGCTTCTGTTGGCGCGCTGTTGTTGGCGCGCTTCAGCGCTCATTTGTCGGCGCAGTTTAGAACTCGCGGTTTTGTCACCGCGGTTTAGTCGGCCGCACTTTTGTCGTTCGCCCTTTTCTCGGTGAACCCTTGGGCTCAATTCACTGGGACTTGGACTGGGACTGCAGCTATGAGATTACAACTGGTCTAGACTTTTAAAATGCAGACACATCCCATTGACTCCAAAGATACATAATGTGAAAACAATGCCCTTGAGCTGGGATGTCAGAAAAAGTAATTGGAAATACCTTGGGCCAGTGGTCATCAACTGATGGTCCACGAGAAAATTTTGGGGGTCCACAGAAAAATTATTTGTATTTTTTATATTGCACTAAATAAGGGGCCCCTGGGCCGGATACGTACAATGAACGTCTGTGTTGCTGCTTAGAGTCTCCCTCTTCGGGATCTTTTTGTGCAGGTTGGAGGGGGGGCAGAAATTCTGACATGGGGTCTGCTTCAGCCTCCTGGTGCAGAGCTTCTGGTGAAGGCTGGAGGGAAGTGCCCTTGGTGGTGAAGAGCCGGAGGGCCTTGTTCCAGTGAGACAGCATCATGGCCTGGAACTGGCTGACCATCTCAGCTCACTGAGCCTCCAGGGGCCAGTACCTGGCCTTGCCCTCCCACAGGTCTTCCCTCTGCTTGGAAAGCCTATGCTCATAGTCCTCAGTGGGTGCTTCTGCTGAGCCTCCTTCTCGGTCAGATCCAATTTGAACTGAGCCTTTGAACTTTTTCTCTGGGTGGCTGCTTAGCTCCAACAATTGCTTCCTGTTGGGGCCCTAAGGAGCCCAGGCGGGGAGACGAGGAGTGGCTGGGAGGAGAGGACAATTAGAGGCTGGAGAGGCGCCCCTTGACGTGAGTAACATCGAGTTGCCCACGCCCATCCAGTCACATGACCACCTTGCCATGCCCACCAGTCGGTCATTAGGCAGATATTACTAGTGCCTGCAATTTAAAATTATGAATTTAGTGGTCCTTGAGGTCCGAAAGGTTGGTGACTTCTGCCTTGGACCAATGTTGGCTGCCTGAGGAATTCTGGGAGTTGAAGTCCACACATCTTAACATTGCCATGGATGATAAGAACAAATCATTAAATTGTAGGTCAAACCAGTCAACTGCCCAGAAGCATTACTAAGAGAAGTAAAACATAAATAGGAGCCAAAGAAAAAGTCACTGGAGAAAACCCCGATGCTTAGAGAAATCAAAGCTGTGAGAAAAGGGAGGGACTTTTCTGAACATCTGCTTTTTATCTCTGCCTTCTTGGGGATTTAACCTCAGACTGTTTACTGTCGACCTCACCCCATTCCTAAGAGGTCTATAAGGGGCGGCATGTGCATCAACGTGTCTATTGTCCCTGTCCTCCTGTCCCCACTTATTCGTATCCATTTCCTGTATTCATAATCAGGTTTATACTTATATCTGTTAACTTATACATGCTTGACAAAATAAATAAATAAATAAATAAATAAAATAAAATTAATTATAGTATTGGCAGATATATTTTTTCTGTTTAATTTACTTTTGCACTAGAGTGCAGCCCTGCAGTTCTTCATGGAAATATCTGAGAAGAAGAACTTGCTCATGAAGCACTATTCTGCACATATATCTTGTTATCATGCAATAAATCCTCCCCCCCTCCACCCCCGGAGTTTCGATTCCTCCAATGTTCCGGTAATTTTGTGCCTCTCTTTTTCTCATCATCTGTCCTAGGAAACAACAAGCCCACCAAATGTGTGACAGTTTCTTATCACAGCGATGCTTTATCTGCTATCTTCACACATCTCACCTAGTTCTTTAGCAGTGGAAAAGAAAACAAATTACAGCCGGGCTACCTTAAGCGACACATCCTCTTTCTCCCTCCCTGCTCAGCCTCTCCCCCTCTAAGTGCTGTGCAGTTCCTGTTGTACCCTTTCACAATATAAGATCCAGCTTGAGCTCTCAGCAACATAACAAACAGCTGTTGCAAGGTCTCTCCACAACTGTCCTTTCCCAATATTGCTTGGCTGGCTGGCTGGCTGGCTGGAGCAGGAACAGAGCGACCGATCTGGTGCGGGATCCTGTTTCCAAGACTCTTTTGCAGGTCCCAGAGGAAATCCAGTTCCCAATTCAGCTCTCAGGTAAGGGAAGTGGGTGCTCCCAGCTCTTTTGCTTTCTTCCAACACTAACTTGGTCCAGAGGAATACTTCCGTATTCTGGGAAAGAGGATCCTTTTACTAAAAAGCTCCTGCCAACCAGCGAAAGATCTGGGCTGCTCTAAAGTGTGCAACTACATTCAGCAAAGCTTAGTTGCACCAGATGGTTTATTACAGTGGGGAAATTCAATTTTTTTACTACCAGTTCTGTGGGCGTGGTTTGGTGGGCGTGGAAGGGGAAGGATATTGCAAAAATCCCTATTCCCACCCAAATCTGGGGGCACTCAGAGGTGGTATTTGCTGGTTCTCTGAACTACTCAAAATTTCTGCTACCGGTTCTCCAGAACCTGTCAGAACCTGCTGGATTTCACCCCTGGTTTGTTACCAGCTAAAGGGCAGTTGCTGGTCTTCCTGGACAGAAGTTGGATTATTATCAATAGAACGGAGCTGCATTTTGCAAATCTGGCAGACACTGTGTATGGTTCACCCCTAAATTAACAGAATGCTTCATTTGAGTTTCCAATTTTTCCATCCTGGCCTTATAACAGCAACTTTTAACCACAGAGAGCTGTGCTGTTTATCATGGGGGCTGTCCCCTCCTTGCTATTCAGATCAAAAAGCCACCTATCAGACGCAATCCAAGTGCTTGTTAAAAGGCACAAGAACTGCCTCTGCCCTGGTCAATTGGCAACTGCCACTGATGTTGCCCAGAAACCAGAGAGAGTTAAGAAATCTCTTGCTGTCTCTGCTGCTTGAGCAGGACTAGGAGGGTGGCGGGGAGGATGGAAACAGTGGAAGCCACCCTGGGTTTGAGGACTTGCAGAATGGTGGATTCTGAGCAGAGAAAGGGTAATGCAGGGATGTCCAAAGTTGGGAACTTTAAGACTTATGGACTTCAACTCCCAGAATTCCCCATGCTGGCTAGGGAATTCTGGGAGTTGAAGTCCGCAAGTCTTAAAGTTCCCAACTTTGGACAGCCCTGGGGTAATGCAAGTAAGCCAGTTTATTCTAATAATGGTGCTGGTCTAGAAGCAGAAGATTGTAAATTCTTTTCCCATCTTAGGCATGAAAGCCAATTGGGGGGCTTTGAGCCAACTTCCAGGCAATGGTGAGTTCTATACCCACCTTAGGCATGAAAGCTATCTGTGTCCCTTGAGGCCAGTCACCAGTTCTAATGCGCAAGTTCTAATTCTGCTTGAGGCAGGAAAGCCAGCTGGGTGTTTTTGACCCAGTCACTCTCTCTCAGCCCAACCCACCTCACAAATCTTAGATTTAAGCATTACCCTCTATTCATTTTTGACCTGGAAAAGTCTATTTACCAGGCAGATCTCTCTGACTAAATTATACTATATTATTCCTTCATTTACAGACATAGTCCTCAACCTACAATCATTCATTTTTTTAAAACACCTGTGTGATTTGTTTAACAATGGGCGATTTGCTTAATGACCACAGCAAAAAAAGATGATAAAATCAGGCATGATTCACTTATCACCTATCTTAGTAACCAAAGTTCCTGTCCCAATTGTGGTCATAAGCCAACATAACTCTATCTTGAAGGACCAGATGGCCTTTGCCAGCTTTCTTTCTAACCTCCTAGGTTTTCCTGAAATAGCTTCCTCCTTTACTGTCACACTTCCAGGACACTCTGTCACCTCCTCCCACCATGGAGTTTGCTGAGCTGATCAAGACCACCAAGGTGGATGATGTGGTTCTCTCATGTCCAGGACTCCAGACCATCCGAGGGACACTGGCTATCACCAGCCATCACTTACTCTTTTCATCCCAGGCAGAAGGGAATAGGGAACAGAGAAGAACTGAGCTGTGGCTCCTTATTCGCAATGTGGACGCCATTGAAAAAAGGTGAATAGCTTTGTCCTGCATTGCTGGACTTCTCATCATGGTTTCTCTCCACCCCCCAACCCCAGTTTCTGGACTTCACTCCCAGAATTCCTCAGCCAGCATGGCTGACTGCAGAATTGAAGTCCACACATGTTAAAGTTGCCAGGGTTGAGAAATAAGTGGCCTAGGCAAATGTCGCCTAACAGAGTTTGAACTGCACTATCAAACTTCACTGACTAATCTTGGACAATTAGAAGAATCTTTGTTTGCTGCTTTGCAGAAGAAGCTTAACTAATATGCCATTGCAGTTCTAAACTCTCTCATCTGCAATCTAAACTACTTTGGTGGACTATTCAGACCCAAATGAAGGAGATTTGCCCACCCAAATATTACCATACATTCTCAAGGGTTCTTTTCAAGGGTCCTTCACACTCATGGATGGTGAGATCAGAAGCAAAGATCAGGCAAGGAGGCCAAATATCTTGCATTAGCTGGCTTGGGCTGGGGCTTTGGCTGGTGGGAGCGAAACAGTGTGCTTTTCTTACTCTGACAGCTAATGGATTAGCTTTGTTGCTTGCTGAAGCTCCAACTTGCCCCCTTTTGCTCCTCAGCTCTTCAAAAGGCAGCCAAATGTGGATTTAAGAGGTGACAATTTTCTGCAAGACTTGGGAAGAAGAATCACCTGCTCACTGAGGGCAGGCTGCAGAAGAGACCAAAAGAAACCAGGAGTCTTACACGTTCCTGGCATGGCCTAGCAAAATTGGGGTATCCCACATCCCCCAGAGTGGCAGAGTGAAGAGTGTGCTGGAAGAGGGAGGGCACTGAAGTTGGCATCGGGTGCTCTCCATCACAGTGCCAATTAACCTCTCTGCATTTTGGACACGATGCTAACCTTTCTTCTTTCCTTCCCGTGACTCTCAGCATTCAGAATTTAAGCTGGTATCAAAACTCCTGGACTAACGACTCCCCACCAGAGAACAGGTTTGCCTTAACCCTTTTCACACCACAAGGCATGCAAGCAAGTGAGGTGACAGCTGGTGCATCATCTACTTTCGGCTTCTGCAGCTGATTTGCACAACCGGGGAGGGGGAAGCCCATCTTTCCAGGTCTTGCTTCAGGAATGAAAATGAATGAATCCCAGACAGGTGAAGAATGACCTTTCAGCCATCCTGGTATCCTTTTTCTACCTGATGGATAGCGAGGCCAGGACAATTTGGTGGAGTGGGTAGAGAGAACTGGCAACAGGCACCATAATCAGAGATCCAAAGTCTTGCCAGGCATAGCCCAGATTTGGCTATTATCTGAACTGAGAGCATATTTTTAAGCATGCACAGAGTGCTTATCTTCTTGGCCTTGCACCTCTTTTCCAAACCACAAAATTTTGATCACATAACCATGGGCATGCAGCAACAATTGTAATTTGTCAGTGCCATTGTAACTTTGAACAGTCGCTAAAGGAATTGTAAATTGAGGGCTATCTGTAGATTTTAAATAATAGATAGATTTAGAAGGGTTTGAGGTATGGTCAAGAATGTTAGGCTCCCTGTAGCCTCCCACGTCCCTCTGACCTAAAAGCTTGGAAAATATGGGAAATAGAAACCTCTTCAGCCTTCCAGGGATGTCACCAAAGGGGGAAGCTGCCCCTTTGAAAATCAGAAGGTCACCAAACATTGTCCATAGATGGATGCCAAAAATTCTGGACCGTTCTCGAAGCCATTCTCGTCTGGCATTAAGGCCTGTATAGTAGTTTTCGAGAACCACACAGGGTGGTTATTCCAGATTTATTTTATCTGGATGGAAAAAGGATGCACAGCAATAGAGGTAGTTCTTGACTTACAACCATCATTTAAAGACCATTTGAAGTTATAATGACACTGAAAAAAGTGACTGATGGCAGTCATCGCTCTTACAACCATGGCAACATCTCCATGGTCATATGATCCAAATTTAGGTGTTTGACAACTGGCGTGCATTTACAAGAGTTGCAGGGTTCACCATTTGCAACCTTCCCAGCTGGCTTCCGACAAGCAGTGGTGAGAAGCCAGATTCCCTTAACAACTGCAGCGGTTCCCTTAACAATTGCAGTGATTTGCTTATCGACCATGGCAAAAAGAAGTTGTACAATTGGACATGGCTCACTGAACAACCACCTTGCTTAGTAACAGAACGTCTAGTGCCAATCGTGGTTGTAGGTCTAGGACTTTCTGTAGGGTGGTGATAAAAGGGCAAGTGAGCCGACAATGATGTGAGTAATGTAAGTAGCATCAGTTGCATCTGTGTATGATGCACTTAGTGATATTGTGGGAAGCAAATCACAGCTTTGCAGTCCTCTGCTTCTCTCTTTCTGGGTTAATAAGTTGCTTACTTCCTGTTCATCCGCAAGCCCGACTTTCCGATTGTGACTGGGGCTGTGAAGTGAAGGTCTCCATCGTTGATGCCCCTCCTCCCTTGCCACAAACATGAGGTTCTTTCTGCTTGCAAACAACCGGAAGTTGCCTGTGGCCTCTAGCGAGGCAGCTCACAAGGTCTCTTTTCTCCTCTTCGCACAGGCTGGCCAACCCGTCTGGC